TACAATATCCCCTCCCCTTGTCTTTCCTTCCACTATGAGGAAGTTCGGCAAGCAAGTATATATAGCAAGCAAGTGGATCTTTAAGACTTAGACACTGGTGAAGGCAACTGGCCACAATGCCAAATCAGAAATAAACCAGTGAAAAATCAAACTATGAAATACATATTTACATATTGCACATCTACGAAGATTTTAACAACTCTATATTTCACAACATCTCCCCCCAAATTACACCAGGGTGACAAAGACAACTATTAGAGAAACAGTGGCTGTAGCCTACAGAGAGAGAGAGAGAGAGAGAGAGAGAGAGAGAAAGTGCCAGCAAGCAAGCAGTTTCTTATAGTGCCTCTCTCACTATCTAGTGCCCCAGCTCAGTGCAACAGAGGTGACCTGCCACAACAAAATGAGTAGCGATTTCAAAGTGGGACCTATGTCACAAAGCAGCAGTACATCAGGATGAAAACACTGCCTTATGTGCCGGCCGGACAAAACTTTACTTCATGATACTGTTACCTGCAAAACTATGAACAATTATCATTTTTATAACTGAATAAATCAAACCCTAATGGATCTAGTTGAGTTCTCAAGTAAACAATCTCTGCTAAATACACTCAGGTGTTCATATTCTGATTATTACTGTATTGTTGCTCACTGTCACTTGCTGTAAAGGTCACTTTCAGTCATGTAGATAATATTATCATAGATCTCTGTCAAATGTAAGTTTACTATGTAATTCAGATCACTAACATATCTAGACCACTGAAAAACAAAGATTTAAATTCTACAGTTCTTTTGGTATCATATTTCAGTACTGTTGCTTTAAGTAGACATTCGTTGCTGCAATATACTTTTGCATGCAACTGATGTAAGGCTTGGCTACAGAACTTAATTGTTGTGAGACAATACTGCATTTGTTTTTATCTTTCAATGTGTTTTGTTTGTTTTTCAAGTAGTGACATGTTTCTGGTTTCACTGACTATATGTCCCTGTCATGAATACACTGAAAAGAAAATTGCAGTCCAGTTTATGTCTAAAACTGATTCGACTTTATTTCTCTATGCTAGTGAAGGGTGTCATAAATAAATCTCATATACAGCAGTTTGATTGCTTTTCATGTGGATTCAAAGAACAACAGCTGTTGTTCAAGCAGCAAGGTTATTGTTGACATCATGGATTACTTTTTAATTTGAACACCAAATTTGAAATTAATACAGCAGCACATGCAGTGACTGTTTTAGGAGACAATGAACAGACTATAGTGCGTGAGCTGGGTGGGGACCTTGGAATCGGCTCAAAGCTCAGATACCACAGTTAGTTCAATCAATGTCTAGCCAGCATGAGAGTGTCAGCGGATGGTATTGAGATCTCTCATGCGGGGTAATAAGAGTTGATTCTAAACATAACTGACTACAGCTAATACAGATGTCTCACTTATAGTACTGTTACAAAAGAGGTTGCTACTTCAAGTCCCTGGAGAAGCCCTTTTGTAGTACTCTTGAGCAAAATACTTTATCCAAATAGTTCTAGTAAAATAGCTGGCTGCATAAATGAGCAAATATAAAGTAAATCTCATTTGTAAAAACATCAGATAAGTATCTAAAAGCTACTGCAAGTATAGGAGTTCATTTTAAACCTGGAATAAGGTAACTTGTAGAGAACTCTCCCTTATATACTGTACCTAGTAATTCTAAAATAAATGTTTGTTCCCCTGCATTTTACTCATTACAAAGCTACTTCGTTCATTACTCTGACACTGAAATCTTCAAATAGATTTTGATATTGTGCACCCTGACATGCCAGCTTTCCTGAAAGTCATCCCTAAAAACTGCGCAATGTCCTGGAAATCTACCGTCCTGTTATTCAATGACGGTGAAATTAGTTGGCAAGTCGTTTCACCATCACAACCACACCCAACCCAGCCGATAAATCTTACCGTCACCCCCTCCCCCCCAGTTGACAAATCTCGCTGGTTGGAAAATTCAACTGCCTACACCCCAACACCGCCCTCACCCCAGCTGAGCCTTAGGCTGGAGCTATCTAATTATACATACCATCATACCATCTACCAAATACCGCGGTAAATCCATGCAAGCCTAGCCAGGCCCCCTCCCACCCGCCAGTTATCTTAGAAATCGATATGCCTGAGATGGGAAATCTACACACCAGTCAGTAATTTTACTGTATTCAGGCAGTAAAATTACGAGTTTGAATTTCCCTCCCCTGACTGGCAAGATTGTACCTAGACAGACCTATTGGTATGGTTGCCAGAACCCCCCCCCCCCCCCCCCAAAAAAAATATTTCTGGCTATAGGCCTGCTGTACACCTATGTGAAGCATTCTGCACTATTAAGTGCATGAATATAAAAATAAATATGGCAGAGTTTAAACCATCGTGAAGTGTTCTTTACAATGGTGACAGTTGTAATTTTTAAAAATCAAGTTAAAAATAAATAAAATCATAAATAAGTTACTTGCTACCCCGATCAGGGCAAGCATTTAGAAGAAAAATAGATGGATTACTCAGAAGTCAGTTCATGACATAATTTTACCTAATTGTATCAATCCAAAATGGAGGTGTGTTTGTAACATATGCACATTATAACACTGTAGGTACAGTCTTTGCTTGAGTACTGTATATACGCAGCTTAACTTCTAATAAAAAGTCACTTTTATTTTCACCGATGGTGTTCCATCGGATTCCATCACGCAATTGTCCGAGCACAATCTAAACCCTCAGGACACCTAATTAAGGATGTCTAGATGCTCAGAAGAGTCACAATTATTTTAAATTCCTATTTAAAAATAGAATAGAAATTATTCTTCAGCATTTGAAGCTCCTGAGGATCACAAATGCCAAGCAGAAAATAAACAGTGTTTTAACGTTCTTTTGTTACTCGTTATGACTTGAGAGTGTTATTAGGCTATATTGCAACTGACCAACAATGCTCAGTGCTCAACTGAAATGCATGTTGCTTATTTTTTATTAGAAAAAAATTTGAAAAATAACCTTAAAAAAATTGTGACTATGTAATACCCACACTGCATCAATTACCATCATGTTGTGATTTAACATAGTCTAGATAGTCTGTTAAATACTTTGTATTTGACTGTGGAATTAACTTTGGACTTTTAAATGAGCATACTCTTCATTCACAAGCCCTTACATAAAGTTTACTATAATAAGGATAGCACTGTAACCATACCTGGCAGATCCTTTCTTTGTCACATTATAAATGCGTATTTCAAAATGTTGGCACACAGCTTAAGCTCCATTGCTCACTCTTTCAGAAGTGAACACTGAACCAGGTGCAGTTTCATAGCAACATTTGTAGGAAAGCTATTCACCCAAAATGACCTTTAAATAACTAAACAACAGCCAGGGTCCACTATCTTATTTTTGTGGAAAGGCTCTCACTGACAGCAAAAATCTATGACTTACGAGTTGTGGTCTATTGTTATTATTCTGTTCAGTATGAAGTAAACAGAAAAAAATCTAAATATTAACTCATGAGGATTCATTATGGACCTTCCTCCCTTAGCATAAGACCTGTAAAAAAGTCAGAAAGTTATACAAATGTATGTTATATATGGAGGAAAGCTATTATTCATGTATATTTGTACATTTGGTCAACTGAAGCTAATATGCTTTAAACTCTCCATTCAATCATCTTTTAAACCACTCATAAAACTCACTCTTCATTTGGCATACATTACAAACTTAATACATAGTTCACAAAATCCAAATTGACTTTTCAGGTTAGCTGACATGTACCTCTTTCTTGATTTAGTCAGAATGCATGACACTTTCCAGTGTATGGTCTTCCATATTCTGAAGCATCCAACCTTTTTCAAAGAGGGCTAAATTCTCTAATTTAATGTGACTTTAGGTAAAACACTGTCTAAAGAAAACTACAAAAACAACTGGAAAATTTCAACTTAAATGTCCATATCCCGAAATAATATCAGAAAAGGGATGTACTCCCAGAATATTATACATCAAAAATATGTATTCTGCCCTTTGCCGTCTTGGACAATCTCAATCCTCCTCGTCCTTGACCAGAATAAGCTATTTAAAGATAAATGCTTTGAAATATATATTTTACAGTTTTGTTACTATCTGACTACTAAAACGATGGACTACCATGCATACAATTTTTTAAAATGTTTTTTTGTTTTCAATGGCAATTGTCTGTTTTTAATTTTCAGGCATATAAATGTACTTGGAATGGATCCTAAAATTCAGATGCTCATAGTACTGAATCCTGTAGGTTAACCATCTCCAGTAAGTGCTGCCTACAGTATGAACCCTGGTAAACACACTGAATAGAAGCTATTAAAAATAACAAAACTCGTTTTAATTTGTCGTTGAACATGCGAAGACAATGAGCCCTGGAATAGTAGAGCCAATGTCAGAGGAATTGGTTATTAATACATTTTCTCTAATGGTCATGAGAAAAAAAAACAAGACAGGTAACCCGCACACCTGGTATCTCCAAAGACTAATGTATAAATAACATACCACTAACATTTTACCCAAAACCAAGGTAATAAAAAGACTGAAACCTTTTCAGTCCTTTAGTTCTAAAGCAACCATAGCTGGTTGGACATTTTAGGTGTCACTATATTGTAGTAGGTTCAAAACAACAGTTTGAACCTACAACGTAATATCCTCCTTGTTCTGTGACGGCACCCATGTCAACACCATCAACAATTGCCCAATAACACCGAAAACACATCGCATTATATAACTAACCATTTCGCACTGTCTGGGCACCGCTTTCAGGCGGAGCGGGAGGGAGGAACATTAACTTCAACAGCTGTTTCTTGACCCTGCACGTCAGTCTTCCCGGGAATAAATTTTGGAGAGTCCCATTGCGCGGGGGACGGGTGCCGCCGCGGTAAATAAACCGGTTTTGCAGGAGATGAAACGTAATGACACGCTCGTATTACTGGGCCAGGCAGCGAGTAACGATCGCTAAGAGCTGGCTTTTAATGGTAGAAAAGTATCATTCGAGAAAAAACATAAATAAAAGGCGTAAGGTGCGCCGTGACAAACTGCTCTCCCCTACCGATTTCATGTATGATGGAAAGACCTCGCCGGGTCTACAGTAATTCTCCTTTAAGGGCGACTTGAAACCGCCTGTACTGAATAACATTTGCTGTTCCAGTATCTCCCCTCCGCTGTTGGTATCCCGGAAGTACTCCGGTAAGAAACAAGAGTTTTGTTCGGCGCGTTTTATCAACTTGAATGTTGTGCGTTTAACAGCGTTACAGCGTACATTCCCGTATATTGCCTGTAAAATAATCAATTAAGGGAACGCGGAATACGGATCCACTCTATGCAAAACGTAAACATTGTTTGTAAAAATGCATCATAAGAATATGTGATAAATATCACAACACGTGTCGTATTCGTGGGTCCTTTATTAAGTGACAGTTCCTGCGTGGTTTTATTTTGAGCTTTCGGTTGGTAGGTTAAAGCACAGAGCAGTGTTCTCTGGTACTGAGGACTGGACGTTTTGATACACGTGTCATCACCGCCAGCAGATACTGTTTCGGGAGCCGGTGCCGTTTCGGATGGGGAGTGAGGGAATGTGTTAGGGGGCCTCTTCGGGAAGGCAGGCGCAGCCTGCAAGGTCAAATCTCATCTGAAAAAAGGGAGTACATACGTTAAATTCTACGTAAGCAGTGAAATCATCCTGGGTAAATTGTAGATGGACGTTTCTTGGATTTCATAAGCAGGTCAGACGTTACAGCTGTATCCGAAGTTGTGCAGCTAGTGTTTAACACTATGTCCAAATGCGGAGATGCCACAAGTGACACGTTTTATATTTGGACATGGACGCCAGGGAGAAGTATTTCCTGATATTAAATTAATTCCCAGTGTTATGTGTGAATTTGCTTTCATATGAAATTTTAATATATGCCTCCTGCATTTGTGATTTTAGCGTGCTGCATAACAATCAGGGCTCTATATCAAAAAAATGCTAAGTGAATAAGTAGTTATTAAAAATGGAGGGTGGTGGTGGATGGAAAGGACAGCTGAAGCATCAACTCTCAGGGTGAGACTTTTAATACATAATCTTTTACACTAGAGACCCAAGACATAAGACATCGTCAATTTGTCTCCAATGTCAGACGAATTCTATATACCTGATGTCTTATTCCATGCATTTTTTTAAATATATACAGGTATATATATTTGAATTTGCTATTGTAATCTTAAATGTTGCGTGTATTATATTTAAAGACCATATAAAAGGATGATTTCTCAACATACTAAAACAGATCCCCCATTTAAATATTAACATTTTTGCATCCAATTACATTTTTGACAGTTTTAAATTAAGAGGAAATTATCCAGTAAATCGCCTCCTTATGTAGCCGCAGCATGAATAGTAGCACATGAAGGTCACTGACATAATGAATTAATTGATACATCAAGGATGTTTTCTCAAGGCTGTCTTGAATAGTGTTTAGTGCACATTAGCATTTCTAAACGATTATATCAGAAATACAATGATACAAAGATTGCAATTTTTTCAGTTTAGTTGCATAGCATTGTTTCTTTAATATACATACTTTGTGGTTTTTGACTAATTTTATCTGTAACATGTTAATTAAAAATGCAATGTTATTATTTGGTTAATGTTTTCAGCAGTTCAGTGTCCATCTCTATACAAATAACTATATTTATTAGCAAAAAGAGTTGTAAATGACTCGCTGTGACAGCATATCTTGGACGTTGTCATGGGGCCTGGAGCTGGTCCCAGGCGGTATAGGGCAGCAGACTGAATGGTATAGCAGTCTATTGCGCTATGACACTTGGAGATGTATTTAGCCTGTGGGAGCAAACTGGAGGACCAGGCAAACACACACAATATGGGGCAAATCTACAACTGGGGTACTATGTCATGCATTTGTTTATAGTGAATTTTGTTAATTTAATTGCACTTGGAATGTAATGTGTCCTTTAATGGATATAATTTATTGTGATAAAAGGTCCATTTTTTTAAGTTTTTGAAACAGAATCTTTAGGAAAAGCTTTTTTCGATCTGAGGGTTTATACCAGTGATTAGAAGGTCACCAGGTCAAGCTCTGTGGCCAGCAAATTGACTTCACTGTTGAGTCCCTGAACAAGGGGCCTTAAACTCCAACTGCTCCATGGACACTGACTCTGCTCTCTGATCCTTGTTGCTTTGGACAAAAGCATCTGAAAAATGAAAAACATTGCAGACCTTTTCATTCAAAAATAAAAGTACAAATGTTTAGAACTGGTAACATGACTTTGAGCATGATGTATATTCAAGTATCCTTCTATGAAACACTAGGCCTAAACAAATGTAATGTTTGGTGTTATGGAATTTTGTAAGGCTCTAAAAGAAGATATTAATCCTGGGATGATGCGTTGACGTAATTCATTAGGCAAATATGTTTATTTAGCATTGTATATGTTTGTGTTACCGTGGACTTTGAAGAGGGAAAGATGGCAATACCTAGTAAAGGAGATTATTTAAAAGACCACAGACATCAAATGTCTAGGAATATTTTAAGGGGGGGAAAAAAATACGGTAGGGGAAATTTTGACTGATGCTTAGAATAATATTTTTGTCTAATTTTGCTGATACCCTAACCGATAACCAGCTAACCCCTGAGCTATTTACCCGGCTTGGGGTGGGTTCTTGGCAGCGCAGATTAGTGGAATAATGTTACATCATTTTGTATTATGTGGAAAATGAAAGATCGATCTGCGGGCATGATTTAATAATGAATTATAAACATGTCGTTGGCCAGTGTTTTATTGCTATTTGCACAGTCATTGCACTGTTTCCTGTATTTATCTTTTACCTGTATTTTATTTATTTATTTATTGCTCCTGCTGCTCCATCTTTACCCATCTGAAACATTCCATCAGTGTTTACTTGTACGTTGTGTGTGAATGTTGTTAGCGTGTCTCCCCCACCCCGTCTATCCCTGTACGTCATGTATATATGTGGCACTGCAGTTCAGGGAATGTTATTTTGCATCACTGCATGCAGTGTACTGAATATGGTTAGTGTGACCATATTCCACTTGACTTGACTTTGAGACCTCGTGTAAGTATTGAATGAGCCAACAAAATCCCTCATCCTCCAAAACGGAAAATTGCTGATGGTCCAATGCAGTCATCACTGCACTGGACCATTATTTTAGTAATTGTGTCTTTTAGTTCTGGTGCTGCTGACTTTGAAAACTGATAAAATTTAAATATCTGCTGGCAATATTGGTTAAGCTTGACATGTTGAACCGATGCCGATATCCTGATTTTTTTATTTATTATTTTTTTTTAACTAATATCGGGTGATACAATATATCGGTAAACTGTGTTCAAGTGGTACATATACTTTGCACTAATGTTGCATTTCTAGACAGATATTATTTGTATGTTATTAAAATCAGATTCAAACTGCACTAGTGTGTCTCCATTGTTACTTGAACCTGGAATCTGATATGACTGTTGGATGTCAGCACTGGAGCTGCACAAGTCTTTTGTTGTATTTTCAGTGCTGCCTGAACTGCTTTGTTTTTGCTTTGAGCCCTTTAATCCTGAACTGAATTTAACCATTTTAACTTGGAATGATTTTTAGTTTGGATACCTTGTTGCACTTTATTAGATAATAAAATGTTGACTTTCTGATGGTGTTTAACACTTCTTGGTATTTCTTAGTTTTTTTTTAAATTTTTTAATTTTTTAAATGGAGTAATCAGTTTTGTTTTATTGGGTTATTCAACAAATTAGTAGATTATCTAACTGACCAAAAAATAAAATAATAAATCACCAAATTGATCAATTTAAAAAAATTTTTTCCCTGATACCAGTCTAATACGGAGTTAAAATTCTCAGCATGGGTCAGTATAATTTTTAGATCCATTGGTTTTAAAAGCCCTTTAGTACCTGATTACTATATTCATTGTTGAACTCGAACTGCAGATATGAAACATGAATATGAAACAAATCACCTTATAAGGAAAAAAAGAACTCTATTTAGAATTTTTTATTTAATGTGCATTGTTGGTTCCTGACAAAAGCACCTTAGTAAATGAACTCAAAAACTCACTTGAATTTTTGTGAGGCATAATACAATATTTCCATTCCCTGTTTGAGTTGAGCTGCAACAGTCTCTGTATAGTGTTTTTTTTTAAACTGTATGATTATAGTATGAGTGTAATTGTGTTAGGAGAGTTTGTACATTTAGGTAGATGTGGTGGAGTTGTTTGTTGGTTACCCACTTATCCCATAGCATATGCTATCTGCTACAGATAAATAGCAGCTAGTGTTTAACACTATATCCATATGCGGAGATGCCATAAGTGATAAGCATAGTCTTCACTGATACTGACTTGTGTGCAATAATGTTGGCTCCAGTCCTACAGCATTTCTGCTAGAGATCCATCCATCCATCCATCCATCCATCCATCCATTTATTCTGGTCAGGATCATTGTATACACTGAAGTACTGCATCCTGAGTAATTTTTCTCTTGAAAATCCATTAGCACCAACATCTTCATACATTTTCTGCATTTTTTCTCCTCCCTGTGGTTTTAGTTTGTGATGTCAGCATCGTCTGCTCTTCGTATTCTGAGGTGTGGACCTGGAAATGATGTATTTTCCTGTTATTGTTTAGCTGTTTGTTATGGTCTTTCATCTACACTTGATTTTTTTTTCCTGCTGTCCTTTAACAGAATATTGCGTTCCACTCCCTTCTCTGTGGTCCTGGTCCTGCCTCAGGAGATGGGAGAGATTAGACGTGTTACTATCCTTTGCTGCAACAGTCTCTGTATAGTGTGTTGTTTTTTTTTTTACAGCCATCTGGTCAGTGTCTGATGTCTTGGAACCAAACTGTCTCCAAATGATTGAAGCCCACAGTAAGGTTTACAGCATCCTTCTGTAAGTTTATTGTTCATTTAGAAATCCTTGGCCTGTTAATGACTGCAGATTGGCATGGCAATTAAGCGAACTAGGAGGTGAAAAAATATAGCAAAGGTCAGAAATAAGGCATTTTTGAGTGGTGATTAACCAGTTCACCATTACTGTTACGAAAGTACTACACCACTGGCCTGCAGCTGGGCCAGATTGTGGTCCTGTAAGGCCCCTGACCACCTGCTTTGGGGGGGTCCATCACGAAGGTCTAGTACAAGGCCTGGATCCTGCTACCTTACCAAGGCCTTATGTTATAGCTTGCTTGCTATTTTGTGGCTTGTGAGGTATAGAATGAGTTAACATTATCTGATGGGTTACAGAGGCACTAACTCTATTGGCCATTATTTTTAACTGACAGAGTGAGGTAATATTGCTAAAAGCATGTTTTGGATTACCAATGAAACTACGGCAGCATTTCCAGTCTTAGTTGGCACAAGTTCTCAGCAGAGTTTATAGTACGCAGAACCAGTGTGTTGCGTGTCGGAATTTAAATCACACACCACTGATCTTTTTTTTTACCTTGTTTATCTACAATGTTCAACATCGACAGTTTATTGAAGTTTCCCATCTTCGAACCATTCAGATTGCATATACTGATAACTCGACAAATTGTCGGTCACCCAGCCTTAGTCGACCTCCAAGCTGAACTTCATTGTGTGTGACTGATCCTGCGCATGAGGTCAAAGTTTGCATAATATGCTTTCCGAAGTATTTCAAAGGCGTGTGGATCGTTAATCCAAAACATGATTTTAGTAAAATTAACAATGATACTATGGCAGCACAGCATGAAAATGTTGAGTCATTTCAGTCATGTTAAGCTTGTACCACAACTACATAGAGGGAAAACTACAGCAGCTCTTGTTCTGTACACATAGGGCCGCAATGGTCAACTCGTGTTGTATATGAGCAGAGCCGTTTAGCTTGCGCTATAAATGTTGGAACCTCATGGGTACAAGTGCTGTGAGGCCCCTTGCAGCCTGAGGGCCAAGGGCATTGGCCCGGTCCACAATCCAGCCATCGCCTTCATCATATGCAATGTTAATATTGACGTTGAATATCCACATGCAGTTGTTACATGGCGAGTTCTGCAATAGTCAGTTGGGTTAAGACCATCAAGAAGTTATCATAAGAACATTTTACTCTGTCCTAGGAAACAAAACCTAGCAAGCTTTGCAATTTTAGTCCTTTCAACAAATCTAGATATTCTAAAAACTGAATCTAAAGTTTATCGTCATTGTTTTTGCGTGAAATCTGCATGTGCTCTCGATCAAGTCATATTTTAGTCCATGCTGTTGGACACAGTGTGGTGCATTTCTGAGAAATTTTAACAAAATGAGTGAGGAAGAGAAAAGCAACAAATAATTGGTCACTAAAAGACATTCAACTTCCACTGCGAAGGAAATATTTTGGATCCTACAGAGACGATGTTGAGAATAAGTATGCAATTTCTCCGCACTGCTTTACTGTATGTCTGTTGGCACAACTCACGGCTACACCACCAAATTATTTGACAAGCTGTTGGCTGATAAATTCTATTTGGCTATAGGGTTGGGAGATACGGCAGAATATTTTATCACAATAATTTTTTCCCAAATCAATTGATGTTGATAATTACCATGATATAATACTTCAGTCATTCTTTTGAATAATTTTTATTTTGAGGTTCTATTTATGCTTTAAATTTCCTTAGGATTCCCTTAGGCAGATTCCCCTTAATCAGAAGAAAACGACATTAAATGGATCGTAAACTGTAATATAATGTTAATAAATCATACAATGATATGTTTTGTTGTCGCACTAGTAATACACTGAGTACGCTTTATCGCTGCCTTTTATTCTCTGCCTGCCTTGCTGCTCGTTCCAGGGGGCGGGTTTGACATCTCATTGGAAAGTTAAAGTGTTGTATGCTGTTTTGAACCAAAATGGGAAACGACTAAAAGTTTCAACACTAATTGCTGGTATCTGTATGAGCTTGCATCCTGAGTATTCTACCAGATGGCGATGATTCCAGTGGTAAAATATATTCGTAGTATTACCAGTTTTAGTTGGCACAAATTTTCGGCAGAGATTAACATAGAAAGCCATTTCTGCCAATGTGATGAAAGTCATAATGAGAAATGTTCTCGAAATAATGACTTGCTATCTAGAAATAACAACTTGCTGTCTCAAAATAATGACTTGGTATCTTGAAATAATGACTTGCAACCTTAAAATTATGACTTGCTATCTCAAAATAACTTGGTATCTTAGTGAAACTTTGGAAATTAATGAGAAACTTTCTCAAAATAATGACTTGGTATCTTGAAATAATGACTTAGCATCTCGAAATAAGAGAGGTTGCATAGGTTGTCCGTTCTCAAAACACTGTGATTGGTGGTAGGTCACGTTATTTTAGTCAGCACCGACAAAATGCCACTGCTCACGTTCTTAGCATTTCTGAATTCTCTGGATTATTACGGTGTGGATTTCTTGTGGACTGAATTTTACTGTGTACTTTCGTTTTGGATTTTGCTGGATCACCCTTATTAGATGGGATGCTTTGGACTTGCCTGCTCTCCTGGTGAGTTGTCCTGTTGACTGTTTTTTCATATGACTTGTCTTATTTGTTCAGCAAATCACTAAATTCCCCCTTTGTGTTCCTTCGCCTGTGTCCGCCCTGGTACTCCATCGTCCCTGTGACTGCATGTCAGCTCCGGCTATCAAACTTTCCCTGAGCGCTTGTCATATCGATATCGAGGGAAATTGTATCACATTCATTATTGCTATCGTTTTATTGCCAGCCCTATTCGGCTATACTCTTATTGTTGGTGAATTTTCAAATGTTTGTTTTTAATATTTCAATATTTATCAGAAAATTTTAATATCGTGATGTGACCTTTTTTTTCATTATCATTCAGCCCTATAACGAATCAACACGTGCAATATTTTCACAAAACTAATATTTATGATTATTATGTACCGTATTATTCATGATGTAAGATGATCCAGCTAAGTGATGGGTAGTCGAAGTAGGAAGTGAAGTTAAGCAAAATAATTCAAGTCAAAGTAATGGCAGAGACCGGCTAGGCTACTCCCAAGATGCTAAAGGTGACATAGCTTAGAGTTAGATATGACTAACCTCACATTGGTTGAATTTATTAGAAATATTGATTTATGTATTGTTCTTGCTGTTTTAATGTGTCTCATACTCTGAATACTATGTCAGTCCTGCAAAGTTAAAGGAACAGTTGAACAGAGTCAATGTAGTAGGCTTACATGTTGTAAGTATTGTTTCAGTTGGTGATGGCAATTGGGTTTTGGTTCAACTGGGAACAACTACAAAGAGGAAAAATTTTTTTTTTTTTTAAACTATAGTATTTCTTCTTAAGTGATGTGAAGGACCAGCTTAAACAGATCCGGAAGTTAATCGATAACTCAATTATGTCATTTTTCATTTATTGTAAGGCTCCAGTTTAACTTAAACTTAAATTTACTTAGAATTGCCCGTAAACAGATTCCGAACATGGAAAAAAGGTGACAAGTTGGATGGACTGCATGCTGAAATCTAATCTTAGGAAATAAGTTTATTTTGTATGATTTATTTTCTTTTAGGGTGGGTCAGCAGAAAACGCCAATGGTATTTGTACAGTTTGTTGCAAAGTTTTTATTATTTATTTTTTTTCTTTTTCTCCTCTCTGACTTGTAGCTTGTTCCAGGGGACAGGTTTGACATGGTAGAATAGTCACCCATCCCATAATGAAGTCCTGTCTCCAATTTTTCACCAGTCTAAAACTATAGGGATGCAGCCTGGTTTTCACGACACACACCGTGAGATGAAAATCGATGGTTATTATGTCATGTACATTCGTGTATTATCGGTATTGAAGTAAATGCAACTCTGGCAAATTCCTGAGTAATCATTTACACAAAATGTAACGTGTACATTGCATTTGGCACGAAGCATCAAACAGCCAGCCATTGCAGGGTTATACCTATGGTCAGTTCAGGCACTACAATTTGTTTAAGCTGCATGTTTCTGGACAGTGGAAGGAAATGGGATTATCCACCAGAAACCCACGCCCACACAGGGTGAACATGCAAACTCCGTGCACAGTCCTCAGTACTAGGCTTGCGCAATGTGCGATGTTAGTGTCGACTTGGCATTTCATGCGCATGCATTTGTCTCATCGCCATAATAGTCTGCTGGGTTCAAAACAATAAGTTGCGCTAAAACATTTTTGTCAGTCATAAGAAACAAAAATTTAGCAAGCTTTGCAATTTTAACGACATTATCTAGTATATGTTTTAACTAAATCATTTTAAAGTTTACCGCTTTTGCATGAGCTCTGCATGCACCTTTCAGCACGTAATCGTAATTATTTTACTCTTTAATGTTTGATTCACTCCGAGAGTTTGTGAGAAACGAGTGAAGAGGAGAAAGTTAACTAGAACTGGTGACAAAAAGACTTATCTTCTGCTGTATGGAAATATTTTGTATTTCACAGAGACAATATTGAAGAGGCTAGTGATTTCTTAGCATTGCTTTGTATCTGTTGGTACAACTAACTGCAATGCAACCAGCTTATTTAATAGACCTTTAATAGATAAGTTAATGTAGAACGTAAATTAAGCAAAATTATCATGTACAAAATAAAAGTGATGGCAAAGACAGGCTAGGCTACTCTGGGAGGCTAAATGGCACATAGCTATGGCTAAACCAAATGTGTTCTTTAAGATGTATTTGCAATGCAGTTGTGCTGTGGCGATATTAAACTTTTATGTTCTGCAATACTGACAGACTACTGTCATTCACTTTTAATATGAAATGCTTCAACACAACTGATGGTTTTCACTCTTTTTTTTTTTTTTTTTTCTTTCTTCTTCACCTTCGTCCACTATATGCACCACGAGAAGGAAATTTTTATCAATGCTTTTTAATAATCGAGTGCACGCTATCGTGCACGCTAACGAACGTCAAATGTAGTCATAACCAAGCTACTGTCAGTGTCTCAACATCTTGCATTGTTTCCGTCGTTGTTTATTATATGATACGGTGTGGTGAGTCCTACACCACATTGTGTGACTTTATGGTTTTTGTTTATAGATATTTGGATCTTTACCCAGTCTTTACAAAGTCCTGATGAGTACATAACAAATCACAGCTGATGAATGATGCACTCAAATTGCATGTTGTCAGCAGAAATCGAATATCATTCAACACCATTGTGTGACAGTAATTGAATCCCTTGATGCACTATATAATGGCAATAAAAACAATTTGGTTTTAAGACCTGATCCATCCCTCTCACATTCTTTGTAGCCTAGATGCTCTTTATGTCTTGCCTTTTTGTGCATCTCTATTGCTCTGTCACAGTCTTGTATTTCAGTATTTATGTAACAGATTTTGTGTTTTGGGTTCCCTGATTTAAACTACTTTGAGATCAGATGTATTCTATTTTCTTCTGCAATACTACTGTGTCATGGGGTGGAATTTGATGAGTATTGGCAACATGCCTTAGGACCTGGAAGCCACCAGAGCAGGTCCAAACTCATCACCCGCCAAAACAAGAGCATGCTTCGGGATTTCTGTGAGGTTCTTCTGTTCAGAGATTTATCATTTTGGAATACAGAACCTCAGAGAGTTTATGGGAATGGCATTCTCAGCTGGTGCCCAGTGTTAGTCCTTTTTGTCCATTCAAATTTTGCCTCTATTGATAAGAACGTTGCAGGGAGGAACAGAGCCTTTGGCTGCTACCCATTTCCTTCAGGATAATATAACCCAGAGTGTAGTCAAGATGAAAGTTGAAAGGTCTCTGATTTAGCCAGCCACAGTCCCCTAACATGATCCATATGCTTCATTATTCTCCACTTTATGAAAGGATAGAAAAACAGCCCCCGCCCAGCCCCACCAGCTCTTTGTACTTACGGAGAACATCTTGGGTCGGTCAGTGTTTATTAAGCTCAGAGATTCTGATGGATTTAGATTTATAAAAGTTGCTTATTTCCCAAGTTAAGCGACAAAGGCGTATCTAAACAGCATTCTGTTTTAAAAATGGTAGAATGTAACATGACATTTTAATTATATAACGGGCCTCCGGACTGTAGCCTTTTAGTTGCATTTTGTTGACAATTTTTGGAGACAGTGCAACCGAAATTTCATAACTCCTTTTTTTTTTGGACTATCATTGTATATCATGTGAAACACAAGGAGAACCATTTCCAAATTAGAAAGGGTTCTAAATTTTAAAGAGCTGGGGATTCGATAAGGCATTTGAATTATGGTTCTACCTTTGGATTCCTGCACTCGCATTTTAATCAAGTGTGTAAAGGTTAATGTATGGCAACTTCATTTACACATTTGCGTTTATTTTCATGATTACGAACCAAAATGTATTTATTTATTACTGGAACTACTATTTAGGTTAGCGTGGTATAATGGCGGCACAGCATACCGCGGTATTTCCCTTTGGTGAAACTGTAATTCAAAATACTAGAATTGTATTGCTTTTTAAAATGCAGTTGAAATACCGTATACCTAAGTGTGACGTCTGGACGGTATCAAGAATTGGGTAAAGCCTACTACAATAAAATGTTTCAGTTATGTATGACCCAAGCCACCGCCTTTAATTCTCCATTCCTAAGACCGTAAGCCAGGCGTTAGTTCTGAAATTGCCTGCTATCTTTATGTACAATCGTATAAGCCAAATGTGTAATAACCGTGTAAACCAAATGTGTAATAACCATGGGTTAAGTGGGTATTACATGTTCCTTGAATGCACGGCTGCGGAGGGAAAGTGTATTCATTCAGCCATTGTTTCATTAATTTTACTTTTACTTTATCTACCTCCTGCTGGTATTATGCTGCGTTATGGAAAAAAACGGATTTATTTACCGTTTACTGATTATTAAAACCAGACTTGCGTATTTTCCAGTTCAGGCAAATTAAACAGAAATGTAGAGTATTATTGATGTCAGTTGCACACTGACATCCAAGATTCAGAGTGGGGGGATATCAGCCTTGCATTTAACTTAATGATTTATTATTTCTTAAACCACTACTTCACTTTGTGACTCTTATTTTTTTTTTTTTTAATTGTATGTTTATTACCAAAGCATTTATCAGTGATAGTTAAACATGAAAAAATAATATGATGTGATGAACAATACAGTACAAATATGTAGATGGAATATGTAGCCTTGGAGATAGCATTTGCTAACGCAGTGAATACTTGGTGACAGCGGGAGCGAGACTGAGACTGAGACTGGGAAAGGGGCACAGAGACTGAGAAAGGGGTACAGAGACTGGGAAAGGGGCATGCGAGGTGAGATGCTTGACACCAAGATGGCGCCCTGCTGCTCCCACAGCCAAAGTTCCCGTACAGCATACAGTACTGACTAGTCGGAGAGCTGCCATAAGTCCAGGCAGTTGTTAAACGGGTAGGTTGTTAAATGAGGAGTGTCTGTATTTGACTTTACATTGCTAACACTTTGTATCAGTAGTTAAGTATTTATACTTAAGTATTTATTCCTCTCAAGATTACTTGGATGCCCCTCATAATTACTTGAGACTAAGAAGTGCTGCTTGATCTTGAACTTGATTTTCAGTTCTAAAGCTGAAATTTACCTGGAAATTGCCAAGCATTCAAGACGAGCATGTCTGTTTTGAATGATTTCACTTAAACATTACATTCTGCGTACTAATGATTTCCTGGTGAGAGTGATGAATATCACTAGCCTGAGCTTCCCTCTTCAGATCCTGTGAAATGAGAGCATACACAGTATAACAAACTTTACAATGTTAAGACATAATGTATCTGGCGTTTCTGGTGTTTCCACATTTGTGCCGCTTCCATTCTAATACTGAGTTTAATATGTATTAAACTTTTGATATGCTTTTTTAGCAACCGGGGTGCTGCTAGAGATTTTGGGCCCCATAAATGTTTTTTTTTGGGCACCTGCCACTTGGGGGTCTTTGGAATCATCCTAATTCCCCCCCTTTACTCCCCCAGTTAGCACACATAGCTAATAAGCAAATGGAAGCTGCTTTTAGGGTGCAATATGTACGTAACAACATCTGCAACTGATTTTTCAAATTTTGCTTTGAGTTTAATTGGATTTGTAAATTTGTGGATCTTTTTACCATTTATTTGGCAAATGTCTATCTGTGCTGAAATATTTTTAATAGATGTTTAAAGGGCCACTTGTTCTTTCAAATTGTCCTGCAGTAATCATGGACTGCAGACAGTCTGAGTGTATCGAGATGAAGAATTATATGTGAGGTGCTATAATGGTCTCAGAACCCTTCCTGTTTCTTAAGCAACCTTCGCTGTGCTAAAAGATATCGCAGTTTTAATCATCAAAGTCCATCCAGTGACATTGTTTTTGCTACAATTGCTTTAAAAGCAGACTGACAGAATCATATACATTTTAAAATTTTATGGTGTGAAAAATGTCAATTGTAAATGTGCAGTAAAAAGTAGTGAAACTAAATTAGAACTAGAATTTTAATTTTACAGGACTAAGATGCACTGGCATCCCATCCAGGATGTGTCACAGCACTTGTGTACACACACACACACACACACACACACACTGTGGGTTTTTATGGAAACAAGTTAGCCTAAATGCACGCCTTTGCATGTCAGTGGTACCTGCCCAGCCATCAATGTCCATTAGATTTATTTTTGTTTTAAACTGCATAAAAGCACACCGACCATTGGATGTTTAAAAGTCCTCTAAATTCATTCTGTTTTAGCAAATGAGGCATCCGATTGGAGCAGCTGTATGTGATGTGAATGGTAATCTGCAGCACGGGGGCTGAACAGGAATGTCACGCCAAGGTTTCCTGCTGGGAGACACTGAGAAGAAGCAGCTGAGAAACCAGACGTTTCACTAGCATGTTAAGTAAATGCTGCAGTGTTGTGATATATAGGGAGGACAGGAGTACACCGTACGCACCGGGAGTCACGTTTTGAAGCCACTGCCTAACACGTTATCTCCTTCTCGTTAGATGTCTGGAGCCTGGGACGTGGGGCTGGGCGGCCTAGACGAGGATGCCTTCCTGCAGTGTTGCGAGCTCTTCCTCCAGCACGCGCGCTCGCTAGATGATGGGTGGTCCTGGGGCCGCCTGAACGTAAGCGGCCGCAGTCGCCTCTGATGCTGGCTGTGGCAGCCTCGCCACCTGCTCCCGGGGTGCCCCATGTCCAGACACATTTGTATCCCATATTGTCGCCAGTCGCTGACTGTGACCAGCTTTGCTCCGGGAATATCTGCGAAGCAGACGGATGCTTTGAAGGTCGCTTTGCTGTCAGTGACTGGGATGCTCAGAAAACCACAAATACTTCTTGTGCAATAAAACACTTTAACTGCATTGTTCCATTTAGTTATCAATGAACAAAACATTTATGTGGCTGTCAATAAAGGCATCTGTACGATAAAAATTCATAAAGTTCTATAAAAGTAAATCATGATATCTGCTTTAGAAGAAAGGATGAGAATAAAGAATGAGCATTATAGCGTGTGAGACCACGAAGTTATTAGAGTTTTTGTTATAAATGTGAATGATACAGCTCAATGAGCAAAGATTCCTGTGTTTTCTTTTTTTTTACCTTCAAGAAAAATTTCAGTATCAAAACAAAACACTAATTAAGGTTATATTTAAAAGCTTCCCTTTGCAGGTCCCTAGTCGACTAGTTTCTAGACTTCTAAGTATAGTTGACATTGTGGGACCTCCTGTTATATCATGGCTTTGACTTTGTTCTAGGGGTCTGATGAAGGATTCCTGAAGAAAACTGTTCTGGTTACTGGGAAGATCAACACAGAAGCCCCGGATGGAACCTCCAGGCCAGCCGAGGACCTGGATATGCTAGGGGAGGACGTGCAGGTAGTGCTGTGATCTCTCTTCACGGTCGCAGTGGGAGACAAGACTACGCGTGTGTTTGTAGAAATATGAGCCTTTTATACTTACATTCATGTTAATTGAGGTATCTTGGAAAGATATGAGTTTCCCTGTTTGTGTACCAGGCAGCCCAGGAAAGATAAAGGAAACCTAGCTGTCTAGACTCGTGTGTGTGTGTGTTTTTTTTTTTTTTTTTTTTTTGGTCTCTTCCCGCTAATTCCGCAAGAAGCAGCAAGCCCATAGCCGTCGCCTCTTGCGTGTGTGGCGTAGCTGTCAGCGTGAGGGATTGGCCGTTCAAGCAGGCCGTAAACGAATCTGCAAGGCCTGCCTTGACTTGCCGTCAGAAGGCCCCACCGGAGACGCTATCTGCAGAGCTCTGGGAATATTCTGCATGAGGTCGTAGATTCCCCTTTAGCTCGGTCAGGTGTGGAGATCCAGCTTCTCCCTAAGTTACCCCCCAAACCGGACTAAGGGCGTTCCGCGTTCCATGAACCAGTGACGGCAAGAGACTTCATTTGGGGAGGCCTGCTCCCCCAACCTGGTAATTGCTAACAGCCCTGTATTGGGGGGGGGGGCAGGTTTTCAGACATTTAAAATGAAGTCTTTCTCTCTGTTTACTGAAGGGGTTCCACGTCTTGTTTATAGAGCACATTCTTATTGATAATCAAGAACATGCCAGCACCATAGCATGACTGCTCCTTCCTTTCTAGTCATCCTAAAAATGTGAATTCCTTGCCTGTTGAAATTAGTATAAGGAGAAATATGTTAAGGCAGGGAGACACCGGTGAGCCCACACATGGGACCAATTAGCTAAAGGAAGCTCACAGAGGACCTGAAAGGGAACCCTGCAATTTATACTAGTGTTAGCAAGATTTTCCGTTATTAAATCTCCTGACACTGTTTTTATATGGCTGTTTTTTGCCTACTTTAATTTTTATTTACTCCTTATATATCACACTTAACACATCCATACATTCTACATGTTTTTTCTATTCTGGTCTGCACTTATGTACTCTGTATTGGTTTTGAGTGTGTTGTACAGGTATTTTTTAATAGTGGGGTCAATTGTATAATGTAACAACTGACATATTTTGGACTATTTCAAGTTTTTCAGCTTGTCTGTTGTCTATGCAGATCTGTGTTCATCTGCCCTTATCTGTTAGCATACTATGCGTTACTGTCTCAGCTTTTATTACTATATTGATTTTTTACGTTTGACTATAGTTCTTTATTTTTAAGTGAGGAATGAGCTGCAGACATACTGAATCTTCCTTGTCAACATCTTAAAGGAAGCTTGTTGTTATGGGAGGTCTAAAAATGATTACTTTTGAATTTTTTTTAGTGTGATATTTCACATGAAAGGATGGATGTCTCTGGTGATAATTCACTGAACCCCCCCCCCCCCCTGCTGTTAGCTATAGAAAATGCAGTAAAGACTCAAAAATATGATGACATGCTGTCTCCTTTTTCGCCGCACTTGAAGGAAAGGACTGTGTGCCATCTGACACACAAATGCAGTTAAAAGCCCAATTTTGCAGAGGTTTAAATAGGCCTATAACAAAAGCACATCTTTTTTGCGTTAAAATGTGGCATGTTAAATGTTGGAGAAAAATGTTCCTTCCCACCTCATTGATGGAATGACTGTGACTGATCTAGCTTAACTCGTATCCTAAGGGAGGCTAAGGAACCCAAGGAGCCCCCTTTAGCTTAACTCACACCCTAAGGGAGGATAAGGAACCCAAGGAGCCCTCTTTAGCTTAACTCACACCCTAAGGGAGGATAAGGAACCCAAGGAGCCCCCTTTAGCTTAACTCGCACCCTAAGGGAGGATAAGGAACCCAAGGAGCCCCCTTTAGCTTAACTCAGACCCTAAGGGAGGCTAAGGAACCCAAGGAGCCCCCTTTAGCTTAACTCACATGCTAACAGAAGATAGGGAACCCAAGGAGCCGCTTTTTGGCTTAACTTGCACCCTAAGGGAAGATACAGAACTCAAGGATAACTCAAGATATTAAATATTGCAGACCTTTTCCATATAATTAAAAAGAAAAGAAAAATACTTGACATTAATATTTACCTTAAAATAATAGCTGTAGCTAAGCAACAATAATTGCAAAAGAAGAAGCCACATTTGTGCATTCAGATCCATAAAATATCATTAAATATTTAATGAAGCTATGTAATGAAATCCATGCGGGTCCAGTGACCTTATGCTAATAAGCCTAAACTAAGCTAAACTAGGTATGGTTGCCTGGGATGTGTTGCAGAATTTGGGTGTTCTTATGTTCAGCACCAGTAGCTCTTGTTGAAGTGATTGATTCAGTGGGAACTTTCTTTGTTTGCTGTTTGAGGTGTTAACTAGGTGCTAATTAATAGTTTTTTGTTTTTCCAGCAGGGCTCTGACACCTAGGGGTCTGAAGTTTAGCTTTGCCTGTGATTGCAAAGAATAATGTCTTGTAAGGCTTGCAGCCATCGTCTGAAATGATGTTTTTAGTTCCTTCATTTTCTCTTTTAGTACTTGTGGTTGGTGTGAAAATTTGAAATGCGTGCTTGGAGTTTTGCTAACATCCTGAAAATGCGGCGAGCCCCGAACAGCTAGGCGTAACATTGGCCCTGTAAAATGTCACGCTTTGATGTAGCGTGTTTGAATTGAGATGAAAGTCAGGGACTTTTTTGCATGCTTTAAAGTGAGAAAGATTAACAATATAAACATTTAGGCCACAATAAAGCAGGAACCGTCACATATTAGGCATAGCTATAAAAGGATACAATGCAGTAAGGATGTTAATTAAGGTAACCATGCAGCAAACGGATGGGTTTATTATCCCGTCCTTTTTAACAAGCTTTCTGAATTGTACTTTTGGTCTGTTTATGCTTGATAATGTACTTATCTGATAATGTCAAGTCCGCTCTACAGGTGAGTCAGCAGATCCCCGAGATCAATTTTATAAGATGACGGATACTGGGCCACTGTTGCTTTCTTCCCTCTGTAATCCTGTCACACATTTTTTCCTTTTGTTTATTTTCATGGGCTGAATTTTTGGTTAAAGGGTGACTTTATGCAGTTGCTGGCGCACTTCAGCTTAAATACCTTGCCCAAGGGACTGGTAGAAGTTCCTGCCCATATCCAATACTTCACCTGCTGCACATGCCTTTAAAAATCACATGGCTCACACGTCGCTATTTCCCACTCTCTTTGGGCTGGTATTCTACATATTTTTCTTTGCTCCATCCTCCACTAGGCCGGAGATATATGCAGTTGTTTGTTTGGGGGGGGGGGAGGAGGCATTGAGGCTTGTGTTGCAGTCCTGCACCTTAATGACAACTGGCTTCAATGACAGGCTCATTTCCATAAAGGCAAAGGGAGAAATGTGGAGTAGCTGCCACATCAAAGTCAACATTAGGACACTGCTTAAGAGAGTAGGTAGCGTAAATGACAGGCCTCAAAGGGGAATATAAATCAGAATGGCATTCAGCCTTCAAGTGGAATTTACACTGTTAGCAGTGCGCCTCTTATGTGATCAAAGGTAGTACGAAGAGGCTAAAGGACTTCCAGCGCTTAAAATGTATATTTCCTTCCTTTATCCAGGGGAGGGCCAGCATTTAACTGCATGAGCAGAGATGCTCAGCCTCGGTGTTTTTGTTTTGGGCAGTGACCAAAGTAAAATAATCAGTTTTATCCACTAAAACTTGCAGTATCTCTTTAATTATCAAACCTTATTTTTAAAAGTGTGTAATCAGATTTCATATCTGCTGAGAGATCCTGTCTGGTGTCCCCCCCCCCCCCCCCATACCCCTCTCCTCTTGGACAGCCTTTGACGCTGATGAAGAGCTCATTACAATGTAACTTGACGTGCATGAAAGGAGAGCCTGCCACAGTTATCCATGGTTATTGTTTGGCCATGGGTCTGTCCATGCTTTTTAATGCGGGACTGATAAAGATGTTGATACCTGATTAAACAGGGCAGTGTTTTTTACAAGGGGGGGATTGTTTCTCCATGCTGCCTTTTCAAACGGGATCCATGCAGCATTCTCACACGTTCTTGCATCTCCTTGTTTCAAAAAAACACACAGCTGGTTATTTCCTGAAGCACAAGAATGACAGCTACTTGTACCAGTAACATTTTAATTAAAGGTGCATGTTCGTAACTACTATTGTGCCTGCGACCCATAATTGGTGGGGTCGATTGTTTATGGAAGCTCTCAGGATGCCACTGGGGGAGAAGGTCTAAATGCTTGCTATTTTTGGGGGGGGGGGGCATTTAATATTAATCTTTAATAGCTATATAAATAATCATAAGCATGCTCCCAGGTCAGCGGACTCCTATCCGCTGTATTTCATGTCCACTTAACTCTTAATGAGGTTTAAATAGGGCTGCTACAGAATTATGGTCAGTATCACCTACTAGTGAAGGCTGTTTTCTAAAGCAGCGCAAGTATGTGGATGTTCTGCAGTGCCGGTGTAAACATGGGCTGTTTTTTTTGGTGAAACCTAAGAAGTTTTCAGAGTTGTTCAGTTAATTTTGTTTTTTCCCCCCCATTTTAAAGTGAGCTTAATATCGAGCAGCTGGAACGGGTTTATTATACTGAAGCTTTCTTATCTGCAAATGCACGTGGAAAATGTCTCCAGAAAATAATTTCAGCGTAGCATCAGCGCAAGTCACATCACTGTAAGTCAAATGCGACTCATTTAGGAGTTCAGCTGGAATGAAAACAGGCAGCCCCATGCAGGGGCATAGCAAGGAATTCTGGACCCCCTCAGTACATACTAGATTTGACACCCTTTGAGTTCTACTATAAGCATCTGATTTCCATAATTTTTAGATTTACGTGTCTGTTTTTTTTCCTTGCTGCCCTGTTTCTAGGCCAAAGCTGGCTGTTCCCAAGGACCATTTCAGCTGGAAATCTGCCTTTGTTTGCCCCACTGCATGACTAATGCAGGAAGCTGAACACAAGCTAATGGCCTTTGCCTGGGCGTGTCGATGCCC